TCTGAGATGATTGCTCTTAATGTCGGGATCGAGTCTCCTCCTTGATTTGAGCGGTGATTTATTTTGTTTGTGCCCTAAACCATAACAAGAGTGCTCTCGTGGTTTTGAGGTTAAAGTGTTCGCCTCTCTTTCAATAGGTCCAGCTCATCAGCCACGTACGTGTTCCAATTTTGTCACACGTACTTTACTTTATTATGTATGCAGGCCTCGTAGGCCTCTGTTACTCAGCATTATAAGTTCATTACCTTTAATAATGGCCAAAAAGTACGGGTATTAATTCACAAATAAAGGTTTTATTGATGAAGATTTCTACACAAGACGGGAGCATTATAAATTATGCGCCGAAACTCCAACAAACATATAAAAAATATATAGGTATAGGATGAACAGATGTGAAATTTGAACGTCTATACCACAGCGAACTAGACTACATGGTCTATACACATGAAGAAATTGGAACATCTGGCTGACCCATACGCTACTACTACTACTAATAATAATAATAAACTTTTAAAATTATTTCTGAAACATCATTACATTAATTTGCTATCTTATAATCACAAAAATAAGCGACACGACACGTATAAAGGCTGAAATCTTGGGCAGAAACAAAATCATGATTCTGCATTAAAAACAATAATATGGGAATACGTAGGAGAACAGAGTGAGGAGTGAGGTCAAAAATTCCTGGCGCAACTTAGTGTCAAATATCTCCTCAACTATATCTAACAGAAACTCTCCAGCTTCTGCACAGAGACTTGTATCAATTTGTCTTAGCAGGTCAATATTTTTGTGAACACCTGCAATTAGCTCTATTCTAGAAAATTCATTAATAAATATTTTTTTAAAATCCCAGTGGGTGATTTGTATAGATTATAAAAAGTTAACAGGAAGGACTACATTGCTTTAAAAAGCAAGTCCGTCGTTTTTTTCTAGTCGCGAGGTTATGCTTATTGAACGCTTGTTTTGAGTACTTTTAATGCAAAAAAAAATGTTCACTATAACATTAATTTATTGTAACTTGTTTTGCCACTAATTAAAGTGTCATAGGTGAGCTGTGACGCAGGCCATAATAATATGCGTATGCAAAATGTGTGTGAGAAGCGGGATAAGTGCTGTGAACAATGCCATTTTCCGCATGAAGAAGATTTGTAGCATTTTATATAAATTTATGAATAAAATCTTTTTAAAATTTAGCCTCGACTGTTGTTGAAAAATATGATTAGGTTACGACAAATTTATACAAACTGCTCTGCAAAGTGTGGGTGACATTGATTCACCCGTTAAAAAGTTGAAGATACCCTTTATAAAGAAAAAAGGTATCAAAGTGGGAAGGGGGGATAAAAAAAAGGAGGGGGGGGGGTGGACAAGTGGTCCAAATTTTAAATTAATAAACAGTTGGGGGAGGGGTGAAATTAAATAAGTTTTATTTCTCTTTCAGTGAATAAAAGAACAATTTAAGAGATCAATAAATCTGAGTGATTTTAGTAAGTTAAACTGTGACAACTTTTCTCATTTAGGAACAATAACTTTAAATAACCAGTTTTATTTTTAAAAATGTAAACCATTGTACACAAGTTTTTAAAATGCTTAGAATATTGAGGTAGCCAACCCGGGCCGTAACCGGTACTAATACTGACGATGATTTGCCATTTACACCCAAAAAAAATAAAAATATATATATCATTCAGATATTACATAGATTCTTGATAATATAATATTTCGCATGATCGTTGGTCGTGGCAAGCTGGAAAATAAAAAAACGGGGGACTGGGGGTATGGAATAGAGAGCGCGCGGGGGGGGGGGGGGGGGGGGGGCCAAAAAAACCCTGAAAATCAATAAAGATGGGAGGAGGGGGGGGGGGGGGGCTCTTAATTTTTATTGGATACCTAAGAGTAAGTTGCGCCACGAATTTTTGACCGCACTATAGGCTAGTAGTAAGTAGAAAATCTTTAGAGAGGTCACTTCAACTGCAAATGGCAAAATTGGAAGGAAGGCCTATAATATTTTATAAGCCCAGAGAAGGTGCTTATCAACCTTATTGTTATCTTACATGGATTCTCCCATTTCAACATTGCAGTTATCACATATTTAATGTATTAGGCCTATAGATTAAAAAGTGGGTGATAATATCAAAGTTGTTGATAAAATGGCCTGGGCGACCTACATAAAGGCTAGGCCTATATTATAATTAATATTATAATTATAATCATTATTGTTTTTGTTTTGTTTTTCTTTTTCTTTTATGGGTTCCCCATTGCAGCACTCTCGCAATCAAACGTTGACAGCAATGACCTGATACTAATATGATAATGTTATCTCTAGTTAACATTGTTCTTCATTTAAGTTTAAGAGTCCAAATTCAAAGGCTTTTTCTTTCACTGACTTTCGCAACGGAGAGCAGGGAGCACAAACGACGAAGCATGGATACGAAACTAACGACCGTGTTCCCCTTTTCCCACGTCCCGTTCTCACTCATAATTTGGCCCACAGACCAAAGAGGTTATACATAAAACTAGAAGTCTTAGCTGTGACGTCATGAATGTCAGAGTTGTGGGACCAGCCGCCATTCCGGAGAGGAATAAAAGTCCAGTCTGTGCACAGCAACACTTTTCAATCACGAATTAATGATACTCTGCGAAGTCTTTTGATATTGATTTCTTTTACATGCGATTTGTCTATCGCTAAAATGTACAAAAAATGGTTTTTGTGATTGTTTACCTTTAAATGAGCCAGATAATCTCCAAATAATGTAAACAGGGTCTTTTACATGGTGAGACCATAATATTATGGGTGAGTAAAATTCATTAAAAAATGAATGAGATGGACTTGATGATCCCTTGTTAAAACCAAAAAAAAACCCCATAATTTTATTGAAATCTTTCGCTGTGCGTCGCTCAAACGGTATGTCTAGAGTTGGAACGGCTGACCACAACTGAGGTGCTCGTATCGGCTCTCTGGAATCAGGAATGTGACTGAGAAGCTGCAGAAGCTTCAACTGCAACCCTGCAGTGGCGGTGGGTGAACCTAGATTTGGGTGGGGTTTAGGTATCTTCCACTTCTTTACCACCAAAAAGTAAGCAATAAAAACAACACAGTGATGATTTTTCTATACTCACGGCAAGCCACGGCATTCTGAGAACCATTCAAACGAGAAGAGTCACCTTTGTCTGCCATCTCTTTGCTCAACGTTAAATACTTCTGGATGGTGGGGACGAAGTCGTTTCACCTCAAAATTTCTCTAATTGGTTTTTATTTGATGAAAAAGTTGCCTCTTAAAGTGGTTTGATGTAATTAATAACTGTTAAATCTCAGCGGCACAAAAACACAGCATCCCAAACACACACCGTGTATGAGGTGGATTGGATCGTGTTGTTGCAGAAAATAGACTGCGCCTAACAAAGGCCCAGTGGGCGCATAGGTAACTGTGTCACTGGGGGAAAGTGTGTCGCAAAACTTTCACCCCTTTGTCAGGGCTGGGAGAGCGTGAGCCCTCTGTGCAGTGTAGTTTTTTTCCCAGTCTTTTACCTTTTTACAAGAGGGGTTTGGTTAAGGAGAGACCGTGGGAACGGGCTGGTTGATTGCTGAGCCCTAAAGACATTTGATTGGCTGTTAGGTTACTATAGTTGTAAGCGGAGACAACAGTGGTTGGATAAACGAGCAAGCCGCCAAGTTGATCACTCTGTGTTCATTGCGGTCGATCAGAACAGTTTCAATTTCAACTGCTTATTTCGTTATTTTCATTTGCCTTGTGATAGACTTAGGGGTGGGGATGGGGGCTCAAGCCCGTGAGCCCTTCACTACCCACCGCCACTGTATATATGTAAGAATTTCTCTACTGATTTTATTTTTTATTTTTAATAGAGGTTTTACGGCGCTCGCGACGGTGGGTGGATCAAAATTTGGGTGGGGTTTAGATTGCTTCCAATTGTTTACCACCAAATAGCAAGTTATGATTTTTCTATACTCACGGTGAGCCATGGCAGTTTGAGAACCATTCAAACGAGAAGAGCGCTAGTTCCCTACGTTTTCCATCTTTTTAAAAAAAGTTAAATTCTTGTTGATGGTGGGGACGAAGTCGATTCACCTCCGCTCCAAATTTCATCTAATTAGTTTTCGTGTGATGAAAAAGTTGCCTTACAAGTAGTTCGACCTGATTTATAACTGTTAAATCTCAGCGGCACAAACACAAACATGCTCAGACAGCACTTCAAACATAATACTTCCATGAGCTGGATTAGGCCGTGTAGTCGAGAAAGTTGAACGCACCCAACAAAGAACCAATGAGCGCATAGGTATATGTGTCAGTGGGGGAAAGTGTGTCGTAAACTTTCCCCTCATTGTCAGGGCTAGGAGAGCGTGAGCCCTCGGTACAGTGTTAATTTTCCCCAGTCTTCTATCTTTTTACAAGAAGATTTTCATTATGGACGGACTGTGGGAAAAGGGCTCAATTTTGCTGAGCCCTAAAGACTTTTTATTGGCTGTTAAGTTACTATAGTTGTAAGCGGTGACAACAGTGATTGGATAAGCGAGCAAGCCACCAAGTTGATCACTCTGTGTTCATTGCGTGCGGCCGTAACGGTTTCAACTGCGTATTTCATTATGGAGAAACTTTCATTTACTTTGGGATAGAGTTGGGGGTGGTGGGTGGGGATAACTACCCACCGCCACTGAACTCTAGCACACCTTCAAAGCTGGAAGAACGGAAAAGAACCACCTTTGATGTTGTTGAGATGAGAAAATATTAAATTGTAGCCATTGCAACCAGCTTAACTACCCACCAAAAAGACAGGTGTAATATCTCTCATTTGCGGAAAAGTTGCCAAACAACATGCGCAACCGCAGCAGCAGGGGTTCATGGAAGATGGGGTGTTGTGTAGCCGAACACCATTGTCAATCAAAGCCAATTTTAGACAAAATTGTTAACGTTTCAGGTAAACCGGCTATCGTGTTGCATTTTAAAATGTTTTCAGTATAATATCATTTTTGTGCCCAATATTAAACAACGCTGTTGGGGTGTGTCCACAGGATCCATAGGCCCTACAATGAGTTATTTACAGTATCCCATCCTACAATTAATTGCTCATTTTGAGACAAAAACAAATTCTAGGCTTTGCATCAGCAGAAGGGAGTGTAGACAACATGACATGAAATTAAGCAATCCATTTTGTGAGTATGAAATTGTCCTTTTTCTTAACAAACTCCATTACGGTACTCACTTTGTCTCCCTCCACCCCTCCCCCGCCCCACCCGGGAAAAACAAACAATACCTCATTTTATATAATTACCTTTGTTCATTTCTATAGCCCACATTTACGTGCATATGTCTCCCACAATCGGTCAGCAGGTGCGGTACGTACTGTGTATGCGTGTATGTTATAATATGATTAAAAACAACAAATGCAAACAAAAAGAGAAAAGCTGAACTGAGCTTCAAACTCCATGAAGACTTAGGCTTTGCGGGGGGAGGGATGCACAGCGTGACAGCGCTGTTTCTCATTCTCTCAAAAATGGCGACAAAGCGAGCTGAGTGGGTCCCACAGAATTCTAAGTGTGTAGAATTCTGTGGTGGGTCCGCACAGCCAACGTGGGTTTACATCGGTGCCGTCACAGCTGCGACCTCTAGTACTATTATAACCTCTTTGCCTACAGACAAACCATCCTGGAAACGGAAGAGCGGGTATTTCCGTAGGCCTAGAAACTGAAAATAAGATTGTGCACAGCAGTACCGCAGTGACAGAACTGAAATACAATCTGGATGTCTAAATCTGTGACGGAACTGTCAACCACCACCGGACTCTCCAACCTTTCTGGATAGAAGCCAGCTTAGCCTAGATTCTAGCTTGTGTCTTGTTGAACTTCTGTAAGTCAGTAGAAAAATGTGGATCTAGAATCTAGTGCCTTTCTTGGGAATCCATAGGGAATGGAGTCTAATTTTAGATGAACTAGAATCTAGATTCTAGATTAGATCAAGGAGGCCAAGAGGGCGAGACGCACTTCATTCCTTGTTGACATTGATGGCCGACGGTAAGTCAGTGTTTTTCTTTTACTACAGTCTACAGTAGACCTAAATCTAGAATCTGTGATCTAGATCTAGATCTAGATCACTAGATCTAGACTAGATATCTAGCTAGAGATTCTAGATCTAGATCTAGATCTATATCTAGTTCTAGACTGTCTAGAGTAGTTAAAAACAAGAGCCTTGGTCGCTCTTACAGAAGTCCTCCCCTGGAATTAAATGCGAGAAAGTAAACAGTAAACAATACTCAGTCAATACCTCTGCCTTTGGCCTTTGGCAATTAGTCAGTTTTATACGGGGTACCCACTACGGCTGGGATTGTTTTTGAGGCGATCGAGTCAGACGATCGGCCCGATCCAGCCGTAGTGGGCACCCCGTAATTAAAGTTGAAGAAAGGATACTGTTTCGGTGATCTTATACTTTAGCACGTTAAATTCTTCATTGAGGACTTCCAAAACGAACGACCACTATCAGATCTGGATCAAAATTCTATGTCATCAAGATTATACTCAAAAATGGCTTCCAAATTCATGATGGAAGACTGAAAACCACTGTTATGCGATCTGTTTCATGACAAAATTACGGTAGTTTACACATTTTTAGGCCCAGTTCAAAGTTTTGAAGGTCTGACTCGGGGATTAGTAGACTTTGGGAATTTAACGTGCTAAAGTATAATCACCACTGTTTCTAAGTCAATGTGGTGTCTGAAAATAGGTAAACTGGGCAGTGTCAATTGCCACCGAGTGACGCAGTGGCCATTGATGCTGGTGTCAATTGCCACGGGGTGAAGCCGGGTCAAGTCTGAACAGGACGCTCTATCTTAGCTTTCTATTCATACTGTGTTACGAACACATGACATTATAAGTTAGATCTAACCCGCTCTAATTATCTAGATCTAGATCTGGATCTAATTGATTTGTCATAACGAGTAGTTGCAAACATTCCTGGGTTCAAAAGGAAAAAGTAGGCCTATAGAGGTCAATTTCTGAATGATTTGTACTCAATTCTTCTTTTTACCTACACTGTTGTATGAATCAAAACTAATTTTTATCTGGTAATCATTTTGCATAAACTCAGGTAAATATTTTTTTACTTTCACTTCCGCACACAGATGCACTGCTTTTTTGGGTCAAACTGCGGTACTGTTTGCTGCAGATCACACTTAAAGCCACTAAAACTGTCGCAAATCAAATAATTTTAAAGATAATTTCAAATTTAACTGTAAAATATATCCAGTTATGGTTAACCCCCAGATTTTCTTTAATACTATAATATCCACCCACAGAGCGCGCAACACTATCCCCACGGACCAGGATACAGGTGCGGTACATGCTACCTCACACCGGCGTCCCGTGGGGGAAAGGGACGGCTTCTTACCGTCTCCGATCGGCGTCCCGTGGGGGCAAAGTGTTAACCCCAGTGGGGCAGGCCCCCCCCTCCCCTCTCCCCCCCGATTGGTCCAAAGTACGTCTATCTCTACTAAGAACAATCAGATATTTCAAAAACTATTAATTTGCGACGGAAATGAAGTTGATATTCTCGTGTTCAGCGAATCAATATGTAAGGCAGCGTGGTGGAATCAGGCTCTCATCAATTTCGGGGCATGTAGAGTTTTTTAACGCTTGTTCACTTGTCTTTATTTGGATGGAAAAAATATCCATATTATCTTCTATGCAAGTCGAGATATTTGCAAATGAAGGAGGTGGGGGTCACCTGTTTTCAGAGATAAAATTAGTGAGAAAATGGCCGCCAAAGATTAGTTATTTCCTTAGCTTAAGAGTCTGTGGTAAATGAAAATTTTGTGCCTTTAATCAACGTTTTTCAGAAAAATCCACACCGAAATAAGTTCTTTTATGGACATGAAAGGTGTTGTGCCAAAAAACAAAAGTTTGATAAAAATTCACAACCTGCGGACAAATGCAAGTTTCTTCACTTTGATTATTTTGACAAGAGCCTGATTCCACCATGCTGCCTCACATATTTAGTAGAAAAGGGGCAACTGGTAGGTAAGTGTGAGACAGGAGGGAAAGTAAAAAAAATACCTAAATTCAAGTTTATGAAAGATTTTGTGTACAGTAAAATGGAAGTCTTGTTTCCTGGCTCTCCTTTCGAGCTCCTCACGTCTAAGTAGGTCAATTTGTTCTCTAATTTCATTGGATGAACATCTAGAGCTGCCTACTTCAACATGGCGTGTTTTGAATGAGACGTAGGCTAGCCTACGCTTCAATGTAGAACTACAGTGCAGAGACGGAGGCTCTAATACATGCAGCAAACATCATCAAGAATGTGGTAGACCCCCAAAGCCAAGTAGTATTCCTAACAGATGCCATGTCAGTACTGCAGGCAAGCACTGCCGGCAAACTACCAAGGCTACGAAAAGTAATTGAGGACATCCCATGTCTGAGGATCATTCTGCAGCACTGTGGATTCCATCACACTGTGGTGTCTTAGGAAATGAGCAGGCAGACAGGATGGTCAAACTTAGAGCACAAAAAGAACAACCAGACAACAGCGTTAATTACACAAAAATAAAAACTATTATAAATACACTTTTTAAAGCTCCCCAGACACCAGATAGCTACCATGAGCTGTCCCGCCTTAAGTGATTATCTTCCAACTAAGAACACAACACACAAGACTGAGACAACATATGTACAGCATGTTTTAAACTAGTACAATCACCAAAATGTCAGTGTGGAGAGGCAGACCAAACTGTTGAACACATCCTTCAGCACTGCAAGACACATAGGGCCCTGAGACAGGAAACGTGGCCAACCCCACTGACGCTACAAGAGAAGCTATATATATGAGCCGACAGATGAACTGAACAGGACGGCCCAATTTATGACAGACCAGACTTCAAGTGTGATGCGATCGAGTAGAAGTTCATGAAAGATTTTGTGTACAATAAAAATGGAAGTCTTGTTTCCTGGCTCTCCTTTCGAGCTCGTCACGTCTAAGTGGGTCAATTTGTTCTCCAATTTCGTTGGATGAACATCTAGAGCTACCAACTTCTACTTTGCGTGTTTTGAATGAGATGTAGGCTAGCCTACGCTTCGGTGTAGAACCAACACAGGCGATTCTAGAAGTAGGCCACGAACGCAAACAAACTCAAGCAGAAATACTCTTTTATATATCGGGGAACATAAATCCGGGTGACCGAGGTTAGGGAGGGAGAGAGAGACACACACACGCACACTCGCACACACAGAGGAACAGAGAGGCGTGCGTAAGCGGAAGTTCTCGAACGCAGAACACCGAGCACACATAGGCTGGATCTACTCACCAACGCAAAAGAGCTCCAATTTACTCGGTGGCAATTGATGCTGGCGTCAAATGACACCGCGTCACTCTGTGGCAATTGACACTACCCTGAAAATAAAAGGTAGACTATTCTTTTACTTTCGCTCCCGTCTAGCACTTACCTACCAGTTGTCAATTTTCTGCAAAATTTTGATGCGCTGAACACGAATACTTCATTTCCGTCGCAAATTAATAGTTTTTGAAATATTTGATTATTCTTAGGCCTAATCGAGATAGACGTGCTTTGGACGAATCGGGGGGGTGGGGGGGGGGGTTTAACCCATAATTTGATATTTTACAGTTAGATTTGAAATTTTCTTGAAAATAATTGATTTGCGACAGTTTTAGTGGCTTTATATGTGATCTGCAGGAAACAGTACTGCAGTTTGACCCCCGAAGCAGTGCATCTCTGTGCAGGAGTGAAAGTAAAAATTTACAAATACAGTCGAACCTGCCTTAACGGAAACCTGTATAAAACGGAAACCTGTCTTAACGGAATTTCCCCGCGCCCCCCTTGATATATTCCTCTTTAATTACCTGTATAAAACGGAAACCTGTCCAACGCGGAAACGGAAAGAAAAATCCGCTCTCTTCCGAGGGCTTCACTTGTCTAAGACGGAAAATACTTTGCCCGCTCAGCCTTGATTTGAAACAAAACTCACAAGTTTGGTTCCACAGGCTCTAAACTTAACGCCATGGCCAAGCCGCTGGACGCGGAAGGGGAGTAGGGGTGCAATTTGGGGGTAGATGTTACCCCATCATGTGAGCCCTGAGGGATGCAGATGTTCAGTGTAGTGTGGGTGTGAAATCTCACGACTGCTCGTGAGAGTGCTCGAGTAGCGAGCGACTACGGAAACTTTCCTGAGCAGCCAGAAGCCAGAAGTGTGAAATTAGATTGATCAATGCCTGCCACCCTGATCGTACGCCAGCCGACAAAAGAGTTCCTCGAATCGTTGTTACAATGATGGAACTGAGGGGTGCCACTGTTGGGTGGGGCTAAGGGTGGAAGCAAAGGAGATGTTCAAAAGTTTCTGTTTTTAATAGGTCAAACAGTGGTCCTATGAAAGGCAAGCACTGGCGGTAATTGGATAAGTAAAACTGACGCATGTCATTATCAGACAGGATAGCAATTGAGAGGTGTGAAGTTTTGACCACTGCTTGCCGATCGGACAAGCGATCCTTGATCCCACCGGCTGGGCCTTTGAACCCCCCCCCCCCCCCCCTAAATTCCCCTGTCTAAGACGGAAAATGTCTAAGACGGAATTTTTCCCCCGCTCCCTTGCGATTCCGTCTTACACGGGTTCGACTGTAATATAAAATCCTCCTGATACCATTTGTGAGGCATCGTGGTGAAACCAGGCTTTCGTCAAAATAAATAAATTTTATTCCAGCATTGATTGGCATTTTTCCGTCAGCTAGTTCGGCAATTTTTATTGAATTTTTGTTTTTTGGTCAGCACCTCTCTTTAAAAAAAAAGTTCCAGAGAGGAGTTCCGCTGAGGGCCGACACTTACTGTGACAAGGTCAGCTGAGCAAACTGTTCAAGTGTTGGTGCACTTAGAGAATCCTATTGATGACTTCATGGTTGATTTGACGACTAGGCAAGCTGACTTTTAGAGCAAAGCACATTTGACAGCTCCAGTCGAGGACAAATTTGAGTCGTGTGGAATCCACCGTTACCTTCTTCTGTCGACTATTGAGAATAACGTGGACTTCCGTTTTGGAAGGAGGGGAGGGGGGTGCAAAGACAATCAAATTCAAATGACAACTTTTTTTGGATACCCCGCTCAAAATATCCCCTCGGTGTTGTTGGTCGGCCAGCCCTCTGCGAAACTCCTTCCCATAATGTTAATTTTCCTGTAAAACATTGATTAGATCTAAAGGCATGTTCATCTTCAGTTTTTAAGGACTCTGGAGCTATTGAAGTTACCTAACTGTGGCGGCTATTTTCTTTTAAATTTTACCTCTGAAACTAGATGACCTCCACCTCTTTCAATTGCATCATTATAATATCTCAACCTCTGTTCAAGATACACAGAACTATGGGTATTTTTTCATCGAAAGCAAGGCAAATGAATTTATATAATAGGCTTTCAGATGATATAAAAATAATATCACAATTTAAGCTCCAAATGCTCAAAAATTTACGAGCGCCCGATTCCACCGCATCGTGACTCATTTTTATACTGCCTGTACTGTATCTGTACTCCTGAAAATGTGAGTTTCTGAACTCCTTGGCCTTAGTCTATATTCTTACAAAGTTTCGCGGCTCATCTTATTCTAATAGCATTTGTCGTGGGACAGACTCCTTGACTGGAAGTTGTGAATGGTTAGAATTACAATTACATCGTGATTTAGTGCTTTTTTAAGCTGTCAAGGCCAGAGCATTATGTAGCAAATCATCTTTAACTTTGTCAGCCATGCTTAGGAATTGAGTGTCACTGATTTGATTCTTTGTTTTTCACTTGAGTGAAGTAGAGATGTAAGATGTACAACAGAGACTGGTAACACATGTTTTGGCTTCATTTCTTGGTAAGTTTTTCTGTAAATTGTAATTTTAGACTCTTTAGCCAAGAGATGAAGGAAACCGTAACGAAGGCATGGGCCAGATATCTCTTTATGGAGTGTAGAGTGGACTAATTAATGATAATGCTACCATGATAAACATGCCATACATGTGGAGAATGGTAGTTGTGATAATTGAATATAATAAATAGTGCCTGAAAGAATACTTTTTTTTAACCTTTTGAGCCCTGACCTCCTGAGGCTCTCTGAAGTGGCCAGTCTCTGCTTTAGTGATTCACACCTCTACATATGATAAAATCGCTTTATTTTCGTCAAACGACATGCTCACAACTTCCAATGGGTAGTATAGAGATCTTGGAAGACCTTAACTTAAGAAAATGTAGTTCAGCTGTCTTGATTAAGCTGATGAATTTAATTTTATAGCTTAAGTTACTCATTCAACAAAATAAGATGCTTAAAGCTTTGCTCACCAGTGTACTGGTGGTTAGGGGCTCAGACAAATTCATCAATTGTCTCTCTCTCTCTCTCTCTCTCTCTCTCTCTCTCTCTCTCTCTCTCTCTCTCTATCTCTCTCTCTCTCTCTCCCTCCCTCCCTCCCTCCCTCTCTCCCTCCCTCCCTCCCTCCCTCCCTCCCTCCCTCCCTCCCTCTCTCTCTCTCTCTCTCTCTCTCTCTCTCTCTCTCTCTCTCTCTCTCTCTCTCTCTCTCTCTTTCCCTCCCTCCCCCTCCCCCTCTCCCTCTATTGGAATTTGAGACTTTTTTCTCTCTCATAGTTTTTGCTTATATAAAGTGCAAACTTGTGTTTGGGACTTTATTTTTGGCTCATAATTTTTCGCTTATTTTGCTATGAAGTGCAAACTTGTGGATATAAGCCTTTTTTCAAGCCATTTTATCTTTGATTGTACAAGCTCATCCATATTTGACCTGACTCTTGTCATTTTCATTACTTTTTATAATGTTGCTAATAGTTTTTGCTTTTTTAAATTTCAAGAAGACTCATTTTGTTTTCCAGGCAGGAAACTGACAACTCTTGGGCTGAAATTCATTAGTAGACAGACAGTGATGTTGACCACATTCACTCGACTACAGGTTGATTCCTAGAGGCTTTTGTTTAATACCACTGCAATGGAGCTCGGCAGTAGAGGGGGCTCACCCAAGGACGTATGTTGTGTTGAATTTGTCATCTCGCAGTCAGAAGTCAAGAAAGTGGAGAGGGACCGTAAACGAATTAATGACCTGTTCAATGTTAAGCTGACATTTGGAGAAGTATTCTCCAAAAGGGCTCAGGACTCAAAGCAATGGATGTCTATCACGGGGAAAAATGATGATGCAACCAGTGCAAAAGTGAGTTGTAACTTAAGAGTTGTTTTATATTTCCGGGTACTGTTTTAAAGAAACATCTTTACTGTAATTCTACTATGTTTTGTGGTTTATAGATGTGTATTTCATTGTCTCTACTGCAGAATCTATTCTGTCATTGATTCTTTGACAATGATTATGTTTTGTCCAAATAAACCTAAAGTAAAAAGCTTCCCCCCCCCACGGGGGCAGTGCCACTGACTGTTCAAGTGTCTTTAGGCCATTCCCCAAGGGCGGACATTTCTCGTTCAAGCATAGTAGAAATGTAAATGGACTGTGACTCATGTCAAGCTCATAACTATGCCTGATCTACAACAGGGAACTGCTGCTTTTTCTTTCCTGATCCTTACTGTTGTCATTTTCCTCTACTTCTTTTGTATGTTTGTCACTCTCTTGTGACCTGCTATTTTGGGGTGCCTTGATAGTCGAAGCAGACCTTGTGCTCTTGAAGCTAAAGAGGTGAGCAGTCTAAGTCTGATTCCCTGTAAAGACTTCTCTGTTGACACCCGCCCCTTGGCGCTCATATGACCTTATGCAGTTGCGAGCGCCGTAAAACCCTCTACTATAAAAAAAACCCCAAAAAACCTAAAGCTGAGTGCAGGAGCCAGGGACGGTGTTAGCTTAGGGCCAAAAGCACCTTAGTACTCTTTTCCTTTACTCTATTATTAACACTTACAGTACCGTCAGCGACTTTAATTGCCAGGCCTAAGTATGCGCTCATACCGCTGTCGCCGACGTGACCAGGTACACTAAACATAATGAACAACGAACGGACACCCTGCACTGAAGTAAACACCAAAGGAAGTAACTGTATATGACAGTTGAATATGTTTCTTGGGCTGCCAAGGTTTTCTTTTACAAAATTCTACCCGACTTCAGCATTCTAAACTGGTGCAGTACTTGAGGGTTTTTCTCTACATGATCCTTCGTACCGAAGTAAGTGTTAATGTGCAATAATTCAGTTGTTCAAATTGTACTTCGATAAACTACATTTTCCAATTTCACTAAAACGTTCCAATATAAATATGTGTGTCCGATGCCTACAACACATATATATAGAATAGAGAGAGATCCATTGTGATGTCGCTGGCTGTTTTACAAAACTAAAGATATGTAGTGCCAGGCTTAATTTGGCCCCTGGCTTGGATATAGGAAGATCACTTGAGATCACAGATCAACTCTCACCATTTGACTAGCAATAGGGTCTGTTCAAAGGTTGCCTATTTTTAGTGACGCCTTTGATTTGCTGGCTCCATCTCTAGCTCACGGCTGCTGACCTGGCTCTAGTCACACTACCTGCAGGAGCTCAGCCTGTGCTACGAACGCTCACTGGCGATATTAAATTTTGTACACATAAAACAGTATCAGTGAAGCAATTATAATCTGAGATTGTATGCGTGTTTTTATTCTGCCATTTTAATTGTACTGGCTCACGCATATCCAGAATCAAAAGGAAATCAAAGGCACATAGTGCCTTGATTTGGGGTGAACTTGACAGGTGTAGATGGGTAGTTTGATGCTACCCTTTTCTGGCACCACCTAAGGCCACTGGCAGAAACGAGTATGAAACAAAAAAAATAACAAATATTATCTTAAGTAGTACCAGTACACGTAAGTTATGTATTGGTTGCTGCTTTTAAGAAAGAACTAATTTTACACAAGTTTTTCAAGAATTGATCAATTATTGTGTGTGTGTAAAGGGGGGGGGGTAGTCGATAAGCAATGCCAAGAACTGCATGAAGAACACATTGTATGTTTGTATTGCTTTGTTGCTGGTGCTTCTTTTACGAATTTTCAGTTGGAGTCAGCAGTATTATGCGTCTAAAATTTTTATTTAGCTTTAAGCTTTTGTCCCTGTGCTCTAACCTTTTAGTCAATGTGTGATTACTTGCCGGTATGTTGAAGATTTCAGTTGTCTGTCAGATCTTACACCAGGGTCTCCTATATTTTTTAAACACTGTGGAAAAACCCAGGATTTAAAGAATGATGACAAACATGAAAGTTGTTTGTGCAGAAATTTATGTTGTGGATAGATTTGTCAACTTTGTCAGGGTAGAAGTTTGATTATAATTGTTTTTACCATTGTGCATATTTATTCAAAGTTTTTCATTTACATTTCTTATGATGGCTTACAGAATAAGATATTTTGTGCAGTTAATTTCCTTTGAAGAACTCTAGTGCTAAGATTTTGGTTGCTATGCTGTGCTGAGAATGCCTTCATTGTAGGTGTCTGAATTTTTAACAGATTTGTTGTACTAGGCAAAAGAATGTTTTTTTGCAGACTTGTGTATTGACATACATGAAATCAATGATCAGTTGTGTCTTCCCCGAAAGCTTTTTGTAATGCAATAATCTTCACATGTTTAGGATTAAAAAGTAAAATGCAAAGCGGGATTTCATATGAACAGGGTCTTAGCCTATGAACACTTTATATTTTAAAAATTTCATCTGTCAGTTTAACTTTGTGTGAAATATTGAGTTGACTTTTGTGTTCTCCTCACTTCAGGAATACGTGTTGGCCATCGTAACTCCAGAGGCGTCGGCCCTGATGAAGAACATTAGATTCCACCCAAACTTTAAGGAGCAAGATCGCGCTGATATTGAGAGAAGCACAGGGGCTGTTCTCAGATGGTCACTGGACAACCAGGGCAGCCTTCAGATCAGTGGCTCGGAGCTAGCTGTAGTTTTAGCCCAGTCAATAGTATGTATACTTCCTGGTCTTAATAGGTTTTTTTAAAAGGGTTTTAATTTTTCCTTCATCTGACACTGAATTTCTATGACTGCCTCAGCCACTGCACCTGCCACTGTTACTGTCATTATTTTGCTGCTGTTGCTTACATTACCTCTTCTGTTTCTAACAGTCTCTTCCAGTTATGACTTTGGACTTTTATCCACCTTCAAGTTTTGATTATATAAGTACTGGACCCACTACCACCTTTACTTGTGTGTTTTGCTCATTTTCCATTAATTTGCGACATATATCAATACACAGTATTTTTACTTTACACCACTCCTTATACAGTCAACTACGGTTGAGTCGATGTCATCGGAGTAATGAAAAAGAGATCAACTCGTTCATTGTGGAGCTTAACCATTGGTGTCACAAAACCAAGGGACATAACAAAATCTTTTATCCCGCTCATTTAATTTTAGTGGTCTGTATTGATTATCTTCATGGGAAGAACGACACATTTTCTTCCAGCCACCTTTCTTATAAGTAGTTTAGAAACTCAATTCTAAATTAAGTTTTAACGAAGTTTGAATAATGCCACAGCAGGGTGGAGGGCAGGATGTGAACTCTACGAGTACAAAACCCCATTTGATTTGCTTCAGCAGATCTGTCTAGAATTCTAAGGCTGAAAGCTGATCCCACACAGTGGGTCTAATCAATCAAATTCAAATGCCGCTACATGCAAGAAAGATCATCAAATCAAATCCAAATGGCGCTGCAAACTGCAATAGAAACCAATTATGAGGCCTTCTTGATGCCTTGCGGCGAGGCGAGCTGTGCCCTTCAGGTCATGAAGGAAGAGGAAGGAGAAGTTGCAGCACTGTTGCAGACGTGCTTATTGCATCGTGATGTCACCCACTCCTGCTCCTCAGCCTCTCCTCTCTGTTTTATAGAGGAACTGTGTGGACCTACTGTGTGTTGATTGGCGCTAGATGTAGGAAATTTATTTTTACAGGAAGCATCACCTGTGTCAAAACTTTGCTGCAAAACAGCTAATGATGCACGCACAAAAAATGAATTTGGCTGTTGCGTACATGCCTGGGGGGGTGGAGGGGATTAAGGTGTGAAAAAAGCACATCAATTCAAGGGGTTGGGTTGAACCCAAAATAACTATTTAGCTTTTATAACCATAGAGAAGAAGAGGTGCTGGGAACTGCGAAGAAGATCAACTTCAACTATAGATCAACTCAAGCGACTTCAATAGGCCTACTTGTGGAGTCAATTGTATCACATACATGTATTGTTGTGCCATTCCTAGTTTTCTTATTTTGCAGTGTATGTGTGTCTTTGCTTCCCCCCCCCCCCCCCACCCCCCTCCCCCCTACCCATCCCCTTATCATGATTGATCACTAAAATGCTCTTGACACTGATATTACTCGACGCTTTTTGTGAGCCTGTGTACACTGACACTATTGAGTATTGGGCCAACTGCAGTGCCCTTAATCATTTTCTCTTTCTTCCGACAGATAGATGAACTATTTGCATCCTATACTGGGGAATTCACTGAACATGAAGATGATGGCTTCATACTTGTTGGGGATGTGACGAGTATTGAAGCAGCGAGTAGTGACACGCCGTTAAACCAGAACAATTCTTCCACCCCGTCTTCTTCATTCAAACAATCTGGGTTTTCCTCTGATGATGCTATGATTATATCTCCTGAAAAACAGCAAGGTCATGCATCAGGTATGCTGGTCAGAACTTCCAACACTGGCTTTATTTTTGCTTCAGTTTGTTGTCATGATGTTTTTAGTTTTAGTAAGAGTTTTACAGCACTTGCAACACAATGAGGTCATATTAGTGCCGAAGAATAGGTTATGTGTTACAAGAGAGTGGGTAATCAGCAAAGAATAAACATAAAGTAAAACCAGTCATCGAAAGGATACGACTGGGTGGCAAGAACATCAGTCTGGGTAACGAGCTGGTCTCCTGACCACTCGTCCACTTCGGGTAGTTATTGGAGCAGGACTGGCTGGAGCGGCAGCTGGCTGAGATAATGGTGGTGTGACATCAGGCTCCACCGGCTGGACAGCTGGTGGCGGAGGTAAGGGAATGGACATCGGAGTAGGCTCTGGGGTGGCAACAGGTGAAGAAGGCATGGAAGGAGGGTCGACGTAGGGCTTCAAGCGGTAAGCCCTATCCCCAGACTGTATGATGTAAGACCTCGGTGCACACTGTTCTTTGACCACCGCAGGGCCACGCCACTCCTTCTCATTCTCCAGTTTCTGCAGGACGAGCTGACCAGGATTCAGCTCCGGGAGGTTCTGGGCTCCGTGACGTCTGTCAAAAGCTTGTTTGTACTTACGCTTCGACTCAGCGTCTCTGGCTGCAATCTTCGCCCTGTCGTAGACCTGCTGGTTCAGGTTTGACGGTAGAGTTGCCAGGGTCGTCCTCAGGCGTCGCCCAAGAGCAAGTTCCGCTGGGCTCGCCCCCGTCGGTGACACCGGTGTAGACCTGTAGATCAGGAGTGCGAGAAATGGGTCGTCCTGACTCAGGGCTTTCTTCGCTTCCTCGACTGCTCTCTCTGACCCGCCGTTGCTCTGGGGAAAATGAGGACTGCTGGTGGTGTGTTTAAATCCCCAGCCCTTGGCGAACTTGTGGAAACGGTCTGACACAAACTGGGGACCGTTGTCAGTCACCAGTAGTTCTGGAATGCCAAACCGAGCGAATATGTTTTTCAGTTTGTACACAACAGTCTCTGAGGCGGTGTCTGGCATGTAGGCCACCTCCAAGTACCGTGAGAAGTAGTCCACGAGTACCAGGTAGTTATGTCCCTTGTAGTTGCAGAGGTCAGCACCAACCATCTGGAACGGCCGCTCAGGTAGAGCTGTCGGGTTTAGAGGTTCGCTTGGTTGTGCTGGACGTTTTCGTTGGCAATGGTCGCATCTTGAGACGACTTCCTGTATCTCGGAGCTGAGACCAGGCCACCAAATGGAAGATTTGGCCCGTTCTCGACACTTCGACACTCCGAGGTGACCGTCGTGGATCCTGCCGAGCATCTCTCCCCGCATTGCCTTGGGGATTACTATGCGGTTACCTCTGACGAGTAGTCCATGGACTTCACTCAGTTCACTGGAAACTGCCTAGAGGTCGCGAGCTTCGGACTTGATGTTTTGTATGAATTTCGGCCAACCGCTTCTGGTGTACTGTATCGCAGCACTGATCGCTGGATCCTGTTGAGACTTGTTTCTGATTTCGTCAAGTTTGCTGTCCGTGGCATCCCATGACATCTGGATTGTAGCAACATGAGCCTCGATTTCTTCACCAAATTCTTCAGGATTGCTCACTACAGGACTTCGGGACAAGGAGTCTGCGACAGTCATGTTTTTCCCTTGGGTGTATACTGCCTTTCCGCTGTAGCGCATCATCCTCATCAGCATCCGTTGGCAGCGGACAGATGCATCGTTCAGTTCTTTAGAGTTGATCAGAGGCACAACGGGCTTGTGGTCGGTGAGCAGTGTGAATGACGGCAGCCCGATGAGGTAGTGAACGAACTTTTCGCACGCCCAGGTGGCCGCCAACAGTTCCTTTTCAATCTGAGCGTAGTTCTTCTCAGCCCTAGATAGAGTTCTGGAACAGTAGGCCACTGGCTGAAGATCACCCCTGTCCTCCTGGAGGGGAACGCCCCCCAGTCCGTAGCTGCTTGCATCGGCGCTTACAATGACAGGCTTCCTCATGTCGAAGAAGGCGAGTGTTGGAGCTGACGACAGCAATTTCTTGACTTCAGTGAAGGCAGTTGACTGCGCTGGAGTCCAGGCCCACTCAGCATCGTGATTCAGAAGATCGGTGAGCGGCTTCATGACTGTTGACAGATTTGGCACAAACCTGCCCAAATAGTTCACCATGCTGAGCACTCGTCGCAAGTCTGTAATGTTCTCTGGCTCTGGTATTTCAATGATGGCGCTGACCTTGGATGGATCTGGCCTTACACCCTTCCCGCTGATGATGTGGCCAAGAAAATCGATTTCATCCTTGTCAAACTTGCACTTGGATTTGTTCAACTTGACCCCACGCTCCTTTAGCCGCTGGAAGACTTTCTTCTTCAGCTTATCATGTTTCTCCTGACCATCCATGTGCAGGAGGATGTCGTCCATAAAGCACTCAACACCGTCTATGCCCGCTAGAATGTCTTGCATCGTGCGCTGAAACATCTCAGTCGCAGAGGTGATTCCAAAGCAGAGACGTCTGTAGAAGTACCGACCGAACGGTGTAATGAAAGTGGTCAGCTTCGCGGAGTCGTCGTCCAGTGCCAACTGCCAAAAGGATGAAGTTGCATCAAGCTTGCTGAACTTGTTTGATCCGCTGAGTTTGTACAATATGTCGTCTATGGTGGACAGCATGAATCGTTCACGCTTCACCGATAGGTTGAGCTTTTTCAGATCTGTGCAGATTCTAACGCTACCAGACCTTTTTCTGACCGGGACCATGGGCGCGCACCAGTCAGTCGGAGCGCTGATCTTCTCAATGACACCTGCGGCCTCCATGCAGTCTAGTTCAGCCTTGACTTCGTCTATGAGTGGAATGGGAATCCGACGTGCGACGTTAACGGAGTATGGCTGTGCATCTTCTTTCAAGATGATTTTCACTGGCTCGCAGCATATAGGTTGAGGTCCCACATCGCCGAACACGAGGTTGGCAGAGTCTATTCTGTCTCGAGAAATCAGTCCCAGACGAACTGCGGCGTTGCGACTGAGAAGACAGTCGATGTCGTCGTCAAGGACGAAAACACGGAACGCAAAGTTGCGATTGTTATGCTGCGTAGTTGCGATAAATTCTCCCACGCTCCTTATGACTCCACCAGGACTGTGAAGAACTGCAGACGTTGTTTTCAGCTTTGGACGAGGACTGAGACGGTTGTAGACGGCCTTCGACATTATCGAAACATCGGCCCCGGTGTCTATCTTGAAGGATGTAGCTCTCCCTCCAAGGTTCAGTGTAACGCGCCATGGTGGCTCGCTAACTTCGCCGAAGTTTACATCGGTAAGGACATTACTGTCCGAGTCTTTGTCAACAGCACCTAAAAAGAACGAAGGAGTTTCCGATTCAGTGATTTCGTTGACATTGCGGCTGCTGCTGCGACAGACTGTTGCGAAATGATTGCGCTTGCCGCATTTTCTGCAAGTTTTCCCACGCGCTGGGCAATTGTTTTAGGCATGACCTCTTCCACAGTTGCCGCAGTTAGAGAAAGTTGACGGTGATGCATGGCTGCCTCTGTGTTGTGAGTATGTACCTGTTCTTCGGCCGCCTCTACCCCTGGGGTGAGCAGGCGACGAATATCCCCTCTGGCCGTAGCGCACTGAATCTACTGTGACTGCTGCACCTAGCTGACTTTGGCTACTGACCTGACCCTTTACGAGCTCGAAATGGCGTGCTGTTTCGATGGCTGATTTCAAAGTAAGAGTTGCCTCGAGTTGTAAGGGCTGTGCTGTGACAGTTCATTGTCCAGTACTCCTAGGACGAGTCTATCCCTTATGGTTTCATCTCGGTCCTTAAAGTCTGCATGTTCTGAAAGCTCGTACAGGGCTCTAACTTATTCTTTTATCGTCTCCCCACTGTTTTGTGCTCGTGCATGAAACTTTGCTCTTTCGTGGATAAGATTCCGCTTGGGAACAATGATAAAGTGAGCGTCGAAAATCTCTAAGACAGTGCCAAAGTTGTCCCTAGGATCATTACCTTCGACAGGAACAGCGAACGTGAACGTGTTAAATATCTGTTCAGCTTGGCGTCCCATAGCGTAAATTAATGAACTTACTTGAATTGCTCCGGTCTCTGCGCTCAGTTTGGTGGCTGTGCGGTATCGTAGCATACGCTGTCGCTACTCGGGGCACTCGTGAGGTTTGGAAAAATCAAACGGTTCAGGAGGCTTGAAATGAGGCATTCTGACACTTGTGACACGTTATCCACTGACTTCTGACACCATGTAATGTTAGTATACACACACGACTGTAAACTGGAGAGACGAACACACACGACAGCAAGCATTCTAATAATGAGCTCGGGTGTAGTGTCTGACTTTTTATGTTGATCCCTGAAGTGAGTAACATTAACCAAAAGCCCATGGCATACGGGGCGCATACGTCCCGTGATTAAAAGAGAGTAAGGTACAATACGGTGACTACCGTGACATTAAGCTTTTAGTATTTTAAAATATCTAATAGGTATGTGTCTCCTTGTGAGCTGACGAGAGTCCAACATGTACTTTAATTTGTATTGTTTGTCTCTCTTGCTCTTAGAAGTATGCTCCCGTGTCACTCTACATGACTTTAGCTGAAACCTCCATTCTGAAGGTTGTGTCAGTCAAAGTTGTGTTGCGTATGTAAATTTGAGCATCGGAGTGTGTGAGTGTTAAGAACCAAAATAAGATTGCTTTCCCCCTTTCCTGTCTGTCTCAAACCTTTAAGTGAAAATATAATGTTATGGCTAGCCTAGCAGTTAAGGGGTAAAAATAATTATTCAGCCATAGCTGCCAGTCATTAGGTAAACATATTAAATGCGTCTTTGAGGTTCTTAGAACAAAAGTCTAACATATTCTCTGTTTTCCAGTATTGCTCCTCGTTAACTTGCCTATACTGTAGAAAAATTATGAACATTCAAGATGTAATTTGCGAATAATATGTGTGTGTGCCTGGTGAAAAGTACCAAATGACGCATTTTGAAGAATCCTGTTTTTTAGCATTTTCATGTGAAGGGATCATTTCTGAACAATATACTCTTTGAATTTTTAAGATAGGTGATTTTGTAATTCAGGGTATGGAAACAAAGTTTTGAGAAAAACGGCTCAAAAGTTTCCCCTTTGTTTCTGCCTCAAATAGATTGATCTACGCTTCGAAATGACCTGACAACACATTCACTACTCACGAACCATCTTTAAAAAGCAGCCAAGATAAGAGAACAGCTTCAAAATGTTTATATTACATCTTCAAAACAAATTTACCACCACTTTGAGCAAGGATTTTCAAAAAATTAGATCTAGGTTTGCACAGGGAAGAAATATGCGATACAATTTGCTCTTCAAAAAAACGAAAGGGTGTTGATGCACAAAGCCTCGTTTTGTTTACACGTTCTAGATATTCATGCGCACTACTCGCCATTAGAGAGGGGAGAGAATTATCTAAATTTTGGTATGCAGTGTGATTGGGTTGACTTTATGAGTGGACAAGGAAAACTATCTGCTGTGTGTATTCGGGAAACCAATTTTCTCACGCATTTGTTGGGATTATACAATATACCTCGCATTATAAAACATCTTTTAAAATGTATTTTAAAGCAAAAGAAACTCAAGCCTTTATAAATATAGATATATTAATAGTTTAAGAATCTATTTTTAATTTAGTTTTTGCCCAAAATTCTATTTTTGACCTTTGAAGCCTGATATCTCGGTTCGAACAAATGCGTCTTTAGGTACCTTTCACCAGGCACGCTCACATATAATAATGAGAACGAAGTCAACAGATAAATTGTAATTGTGTGTTACCTTAGTTACCTTATGAGCCTGAATTTATTGAATGCAGAAAAATGTGCGTGAAGGTTTGGAGGGGGCTTACTTGGCCAGCGCGCACCATCTTGATCCAATGTTTTGGTTAAGTCTGGGGTTTTTTTGTTTTGAAAAGTCAGCAGCTATGTTCAGTATCGTGAAGTAAAGAATCCCTCTTTGTGGCAATGACGATGCTTTTGCTTTATTTTTTTCAGCTGCAGCTACAGCAAGTCAAAGATCAGCTCTTGAAGGGCCTCCTGCAACATTTTGTCCTCCAGGACTTCCTCCATACGAAGCGTCACAGACCTCATCAGTACTGGGTGCAAGTTCTGGCCATGTTTTTACCACCTCCCAAAGCAGCAAGGGGGAGGAGATGCCGAACAGAGCTTTGCCGAGTGCATTGAGTGTTCGGTTGGGTGTCCCAAACTCTCTTGGGCATGTGTCAAATCCTGGGCTGGGTGTGTCAGGTTGGAGACCAAGTGTGTCAAATCAGCAATCAGGTGTGTTGAACCATCAATCAGGTGGGTCAGGAGTTCTGTTAGGTCCTCGACATCAACATCACATATTAGGTTCTGGTTTTGGGATTTTGGGCCCTAACTCCGGCGGGCCTGGTGACAACCAGACAGACCAGACACAAATCAAAGTGCCTCTGCCATCTTGGAGACCTCAGTACGGACAAAATGTGGCCTGTATGGATGTGTGTGATTCTGAACCTCCCACCGCCTCCTCGGCCAACAACAACAACAATACTTCTCCTCTTTCAGTCCAAGCTGAAAAGCAGAGGGTTTACCTCCGTGATCTCGGTGTCTCCTGTAACTACTCCCTCGGAGATATCGAGATAGGCTTATCTCGGTTCAGTATGGAAGAGGTTATCATTCCCGCAGTGTTCCTGTCAACCCTCAACGAAGTGAAAGCCTCACGGCACAGCAATCGCAGTGTCCCTCCTCCCCCTCCCCCGTTAGGTCAGGGACACGTGGCGGCCACTGCCACAACCTCCCAGAGGACCAACAGAGATAACACTGGTGGTCAAAGTATGAACGTTAACGCCAACTGTACGGGCGCCTCTCACTCTGCTGTTACTCGGTCTGAAGATGTTGTTGTCATTTCATCTGACGAAGAAGAGGTCAAGATAGAAGAGCCTTCTTCTTTTAGGAGTAATGCAGGTATGTTGAAAATATTCACCCACAGTCTCTATGTCGTAATTTATTTCTATTTTGTCGAAGATAATTTCTCTATAGGTGTATGTCAGGTTTGATATGATTTTTGAAGTCGAGCATCGGCAATGTCTTTATTTTCAGTGCTGTGAAAATTGGAGGGTTTCATAATCGCTGGTGTCTATCTAAAAGTTGCTTCCTACTTGAAAGTTTCTTTATTGGAAGATGGACAAAACTATCCATTTTGGGGGGAATTTTTAAATCTTGTAATAAATAATAATTTTTGAGAAGGATTATGAGACTGCATCATTGATATGATAAAAGAATTTTGCCCTCCCTATACCATGAAGTGCAAGGCGGTCTGTGGTGTTCATAATGGTTAGACTAGACTCTTAGCTGATGCTTACTTAGGGCGTAAGTTAGTTTCACTCTTGGGAAGTTGTTTTATCAAGTATCTCTGTTTGTTGAGATACTGTACCCCATCAGCTCAGGTTAGCCCTTTGAGGAAGCGTTAGAGCTACCTGTCTCCAAAATACCTATTGGATGAAGGCATAAAACATTTACAATCAATGATTATGTGCTGTGTCAACAATTTTCTTCATTTTTCATTTTTAAAAACTATCAGCGGGACTCCCGCAACTGCCGCCAATGTCTCTGTCTTTGGATGAGAGAGGGAACAGAACAGTCCATATGGACAAGGGTTTTGAGAATCTTAGGCTGGGTGAAGTCGGTTCATCATCCAGCAGTCGTCCAGATTTGCCAGGAAATGTTCCAGCAACCATGAGAATGCCAAGAACTTTGTCTACCAACCCATCTCAAGCATCGAATGCGACAGGATCAAACTTAAGATATATCGTTATTGATGGCAGCAATGTGGCAATGAGGTATGGTTCTTTTGAGCATCTTTCTAGTAGGAGACAGATTAGTTTTTGAGTTTTTTTGTTGTGTTTACTAGCTTTGGTTCTTTTGTAGTTTTTATTTATGGCACGATACGGTGGAATGATGCGCTGGTCGATTTTTTAGCTTATGAGTGATTAGTAACATCTTAAAGCTTATTCATTTGTCTTGCTTTCGATGAAAAAATTATCCATCTTTCTTTTATAGAAGTTAATCTATTTGTGATTGAAAGAGGTAGGGGTCGTCTGGTTTGAGAGGTAAAATTAGCGAGAAATTGGCCGTCAAAGTTTGGTGATTTCCAAAGCTTTAGAGTTTTCCCCAACTTTTCTAAGTATACAACCTCATCATAAATATATGTCTTTGTGAAGTGAATTACCTGTCAATAAAGATTGGCTTTTTTTCCTTTCTTTTCTCATCTATAAGTCATGGTGAGAACAAACGGTTCTCCACACGTGGCCTCCAGATTTGTATAGACTACTTCAGAGAGAGGGGACACCCCAAAGTTGTGGCATTTGTGTCAGAGGCTGTTCGCTACTCCGGGAATCCGATATATCTCGCTGGTAGAGACTTGCTGGAGAAACTGAATCAAGATGGCTTTGTCAAATTCACACCGGCTCGCCGTATAAATGGAAGGAACATCACTACATATGAAGACAGGTTAGTTACTTTGAATCGGTGGCGTCGGTAGTCTAGTGGTTAGGCTACCGGATTGATAATTGTGACGTTCCGTGTTTGGAGGTTGGAACGTCAGGAGAGACTTTGTGTCCTTGGGAAAGGCACTTCACATGAATTTTTCTCACTTCATACAGGTGGAAATGGGTATCCAGCCATAGACAGCAAAAGATTAAGATTGTTTTTGAATGCTGTCATGTCTGCTGGGGTAATAGATATATTGCAAAAGGCATATTATATTTATTATTATGATTATCTATTATCTATTTGTGCAGGCCGAATTTTGCTATTCAAAAGGCTTTTTAATGGCTGCATCGATCGACATGCGGTTTTCGCCAAAAGATTTTTAAAAATATTCTCCAGATCATGACACCCTTGGTTTTTCCAGTTTTGAGACAGTTTTACTGCAAAAAGCTAAATTTCTTTATTTCGCCGATCGCGTTTGTAGGCCGACGCTTCTGTCTCTGTAATTTTAGAAAACCCGGAAGTGATATTTTGCGAGGCGCATTTTGTTTTGAGAGTATAGATCTAGACCTTCTAATTTTTTGCATCTCTCAAAATTTATTGCCCCATTCCAGTAGAGTGTAAATATAGTAGGCCAATTACTTTTATTTGATATTAAAGCACCGATCATTCTTTCATCGAAAGGGGGCCCAGCTAGTTATTACTATTATTATTATTATTATTATTATTATTATTATTATTATTATTATTACCTTGGTTCAATCAAACCCTAGGGGGTTCAGTGAGTCAGTCTCAGGGGACTGGTGGAGGTCAAGACACGCATACTGTGAGTGTGTGTGTCTCTTTTGTCCATCCCACTCTAAGAGTTTGGTGAATGCACATATAAAAGTTGCAAGGTTTAGTACCTCTGTCAAGATCAAGAACCGCTTTTCTAATTGTTTTACATCCCCATCAACACAGTTTAGGTTGTTTAAGTGGTGGGGTAAGTCAGTGTGTGACTACTGTGCAGGTTTAGTGAAGTGGAAGTATGGAATTGTGTTAAAGGAAGACCCGAGTCGGCGATCCCAAAGAATATTGATAACATTTTTCAAAATATCAATTTTTGTTTTGTTTTTTCTGTTGAAAAACATTCTTCAACATCTGTTCTATCTTGTCACAATGACAAAACTGTTTTAAAAAAACACCCTAAATGACCTAAAAAGGTGTTTGAAAGGTGCGTATGTGAATTAAAAATCCTCTTTAAAAAATCCTGTTTTTCTTAAGTTTTTTTTATTCACACATGTGACCTCCTTGGTGCAAAGGAGTTTTCAAAAACTACTAAAGCAAGAAATTGGGAAATATTGGTAACTTGCGCAAATATTCCAATTTTTCTAACATATACCCCGAAGTTTCGTCTACTGGCGGTCGGAGGTCCTGTGACTTTGAGCTTATCTTTATATTTTTAAAGATGTATCAAAAGCCTTTCGTCTGTCCACAGTCCACACGGGTTTGCACTTGTGTGCCAAATTTCAGGTTGAAATTCCAATATTTTCTGCACAGAGAAACTGGCTTGAAAATCCAAGATGGTCACCACAGGGACCCATTATTCAGAAATAGTTAAAAAATTTACCATTAATATATCCAATTTACCTGTGAACTTCTTTCACAATCACATGAAAGTGAATGGAAGTCATTTGTTTAAATTTTTTTGTACTTTGTCTTTAGCAACAAGTTCAGAAGCTTACCCTTTCGCTCTCTACAAGTTTTCTTATATTGGTGTTGAGGCAATTTTAATTAAAAGCCATGGTGTTCTGTCCTACATTGAGGCAATACATTCACTTTTTGTATAAGATAAGAATTAAGATAAGATAAGATAATACTTTATTATGCCAGGGGGAAATTTTTCTTGGCTGTACTTTATAGACTGAGAAGACAGTTGGTTCTGTTTTGGTTTAGGTTTTTTTCTTTGGGGGGAAAGGGGGGTGGGGGGGGGGTTGCATTTAGTTTGACTTGATTCTCTTCGTGCCATGGAAATACAGTTGGATGTGTGAACAATCGTGTCAATTGTGTCTGGAGCTAAGTGACGAAGTGTGAGAGTCCCAGATATATTTCTTATGAAGTTTTTTCATGGAACTTTATGCTCTAAATGATTTGTAGATTAAAGTTTGTCCTAGAAGAAAAATATATGCTCTGGAAATTTTTAAAAACATTCCTCTTCCTATTGATGTATTAGAAATATGGAGTGGAGGATAGGACAGGTTTTTTTTTAAAATTCTGAGTTACAGGCTTTTCCGAGTTGTCCACTTTATGACTAATGTCGTTGATATAAGACAAATCCATTCCACTCACACTGTCACATCAGTGACACATGCTTATGTGGTGACATTGGTGGAAAATCTTGAAGAGTCATGTTACTGGTCCCCACTCCCTCCTGCAAAACCAAAGTTTTGTTTTCAGACAGATGGACCAAAAAATCCTGAGGAGTCTTGATAAAAGTATTATAATCATCAAAACATAAATCATTACATGACACATCCTGGACTTTACAGAGAGTGGGTAGTTTACAGTCATAACAATAATCCTAAAACCCAGCAAATCCATCTTATCTGTAATCAAACTAAATATTTAGGCCTATTACAAAGAGCTTTCAATTTGACTTTGTTCACTTTTGTATTGGGTTTCTTTTTAGCTGAGACTGGTTAGGTTTAAAAACAGAATAGAACTCTTTGAAGTAGTGAACCCACGAACAAATAAGTTTTCTTTTGCAATTTTACATGTTCTTTTCAGATTTATCTTGAATCTAGCCCTGAAAGAGGATGCTGTGATTGTTTCGAATGATCAGTTTCGAGATCTTCATAAAGATAACCCCAAATATCGGTACTTAATTGAAAACAGGTGAGAGCTCTGAAACTTATTTTATATTAATCTGATGTCCAACAGTATATACACAGAACATTTTTCTTCTTCTTCTCTATCGCATCTCACTTGAAGTTTGGTATCTGTCATAAATTGGGCCGTCCTGCTCAGTTCATCTGTCGGCCCGTATAGCTTCTCTTGTAGTGTCAGTGGGGTTGGCCACGTTTCTGTCTCAGGGCCCTGTGTGTCTTGCAGTGCTGAAGGATGTGTTCAACTGTTTGGTCCGCCTCTCCACACTGGCATTTTGGTGATTGTGCTAGTTTAAAACATCTGTAGATATGTTGTCTCAGTCTTGTGTGTTGGGTTCTTAGTTGGAAGATAATCACCTGTTCTTGGCGGGGCAGCTCATGGTAGCTACCTGGTGTCTGTGGTGCTTTAAATAGGGTATTTATAATAGTTTTTATTTCTGTGTAGTTTACGCTGTTGTCTGGATGCTCTTTCTGTGCTCCTAGTTTGACCATCCTGTCTGCCTGTTCATTTCCTAAGACACCACAGTGTGATTGAATCCACTGCAGCATGATCCTCAGACATGGGATGTCCTCAATTACTTGTTGTAGCCTTGGTAGTTTGCCGGCAGTGATTGCCTGAAGTACTGACATGACATCTGTTAGGAATACTACTTGGCTTTGGGGGTGTACCACATTCTTGATGATGTTTGCTGCATGTATTAGAGCCTCCATCTCTGACAGAAAATGTTTGAAATGCTGTACTTACCCATGTTCCTTCACTTTTTTTTTCAGTATTCCAGAAGCAGATCTTTCCCTATTTGCCGAATAAAGATGGTTAGGAGGTTGCTAGTTATCCTATTTTTCAGTATTTTTATCTTTATCTTTGTTCAGAGCGCTTTAATGAGACCATCCTGTAGAACCCCTCCCCTGCAGTCCCACTTTTGCACATGTATTTGTTTTACTCTTCTTTGTTTGGCAAAAGAGGGATATTTTTTTCCTCTTTTTGCTTATGGCCCTTGTGTGAGTGATATTTCTTCAAAGAACAAACATTGTACAGACTTTCAAATACTGTGGAGTCCGCTTTAACCGAAATCTATGGGACCTCCGTGTAATGTATGTCTGATGTATGAAATGTAAAAATGGGAAGGAACTATTTTGCGAATGTTGAAATAATGATTCTTTTATATCACAATTATTTCCCCTTCTTGATACGTCACATTTTGTCTCGTTTTGGAATCCACACAAGATCTCAGTGTAAACTTAAACAATAAAGTCAGTTCACCAGCAGGTAGACAAGAGAGCGGCTGTGTTTTGTCTTTCTTTCAAGCCTTAATCTTTTTATACTGTGAGGCCATATGTAGCCGTCACACTCCGCATTTTCTTTGATTTAGCCAGGTTTTTGTTTTAGAGAAGCTACTCCAATAGAATTTAAAAAATACAAAACTGAGATTTTATTTTAGTATTCCACTCTTTGCGGATTAACCATGTTCAGTAAAAGTGGACTCCACTGTATTGTTCTGTCTCTTCCAGATTGCTCCAATTTGTGTTTGCCGATGACCACTTCATGCCCCCAGACGACCCCTTAGGAAGGAACGGACCGTCACTTGATGACTTCCTCATGGTCAACCCACCCAGGTAACGTGAAAATTATGTCTTGATTTAGTAAGCATTTTACAGCACTTACAACACAATTAGGTCATATAAATGCCGAAGATTCAGGGTGTTACCACTAAAAAGGAGAGATAAGGATGATGGATATTTGATAGGAAACAAGAAGCAAACCCCACTAGCTATTTTTGATCTCATTCGAAAACTCTTTAAAATATCTGAAAACAGATTGGTTTGTAGCTTTAGACATAAGGGCAGAAGCTCATGAAGAGATAGATTCATAGCACTGAAGTTGAAAACAGTGTAGAATTCCAACCTAGAGCCTGTGGGCAATTTGGTATTTGTGTGGGATAATAATAATAATAGATAGCATTTGTATAGCACAAATCCCCGCTCAACAGCAAGCTCTATGCGCTTCACAATCTATACTATTACCCCAGCAGACCTGAGAGCATTCTGAAACAAACTTAACTTCCTGGGAAGCATGCAGTGCAAGCGGCCATTTATAGGCGCTGAAACACTAACATACTGACAAGATCTTTCAACCATGTCAGTGCTGTAAGGTTGTTAAAGATCTCTGAATTTAACACCTGTCTGTAGGAAGACCAAGCCAAGTTAGTGGAGAACCATGAACACTTCCAAGACAACCCATGTTCAAGGACACCCAGCTAGGAGCATGTCTCCATCAATGCAATGCTTTATGTAGCTTAACACCTAGTTCTTGGAAGGCTATTCAGTTTTTTGTACATAACCAATTTTGTCTTCTGATTTTATATCACTTCCAACTTTCCTTATAATTCCCATCCTATTTAAACTGCATGTATTTGTTTTAAACAAATGGCAAACTGAGTCAATTTGAAAGCTCTTAGTAATAGGCCTAAATATTTAGTTCGATTACAGATAAGATGGATTCGCTGGGGTTTAGGTATATTTTTGTGACTGTAAACTACCCCTTCTCTGTAAAGTCCAGGATGTGTCATGTAATGATTTATGTTTTGATGAGCATAATAATTTTATAAAGTTTGACTCCTCAGGATTTTTTGGTCCATCTGTTGGAAAATAAATGTTTGATTTTGCTTGAGGGAGTGGGGACCAGTACTATGACTCTTCATGATTTTCCACTAATGTCACCACATAAGCATGTATGGAATGTATTTGTCATTAATTCGAAGAGAAAACATTCACAGCAAGATGTGATTTTTTAACAAGGGATATTTTCCTGCGTTTCTACGGATGGGTTGAAATGTTTGAATGTTGTGTAGAACCATGTCCACGACACTATATGTGCTGTTAGTTAAATAGTGTAAAAAAAAAATAATGGTAATGATAAAGCACAGACTCTGCACGTTTAACAAATAAGCAGCAACACATAAACTGTACCTGTCCAATATTAATATCAACTGTGTACTGAAAGTAGTTGAGACAGAGACTTTCTTTTGTTTGAAATTGACAAATAAACAGTTTTTTGGGGTCATGTTTTTCTGTCTGATATTGGCTTAGAAAGATAGTATGATAATTATGGTTTGTTTAATGAATGTTTTCTCGCTGATAGTGATGGATAAATACAGGCTGCAAAGAAAACAGAAATGATATTGAAAGGAAATGAAAGCAGACACCAAAACTTTTTCTTCCCTCCAGACAAACGAGCATTTTTCCAAGTTCTATGGACCAAGCAGAAGTCCGGGGACCGCCACCGCCACCGCCACAGCCGCTGGCGCGCTACCCGTACAGCAGGTGGCCACAAGGGCCCACGACGGGCCATCCGAGGGGAGGGGCCAGGAATGTGGTACGCCCGTGGAGGGGAGACCCGGCCCCTGACATGAGTGGGGATCATCTCCCAGCTCCCCGGGAGCGGCAAGGACACCAGAAGCTCACAGGTGGGCCTGAAGAATGTTGAGAATATATTATATCTGAGTGAGTTTGTCCTTTTGAAAGCCTGGAAAGTTTTAAAGATTTAGTGTCCCTGTTGCAAGAAAAGCATGTATATCTGTCATAACCCTTTTTTAACAGGGTTAATAGGTACTCTTGTAGTTTCTCATCTTTCTTTTGACTGAGATGAAATGCTCTGAGCTGCTTATTTTTCGAAAGATGCTTGAAATTTTAAAACGTTAAAGGGCTTCACTTTATTGGTGAGTATATCCAGGAAAACACAACAGCTTGTTATGTTCTCTCCACTGTTATTTTCATAATTATTATCTCATTCATTCTGTTATAGGAAATGTTTTTTAATCAAACTATAAAACAAATGTGTTCTCTCCTGTGTCCAGGCCTCTCCCTGTTGCCTGGCAGAAGTGAGGAGGAGACACAGAGGCTGTTTAAACAATTGTCTCAAGTTTTCTGCGATCCCAGTCAGAGTTCATGTATCAAGAAAGTCCTGCAGAATCACAAAGATGAGACAGACATCAACCGACTTACAAACTTTCTTCTCAGTGCTATGGACCTGTGATTGCTGTGCAGTACTGCATTTCTAAGCTGCCCTTCGCCTCAAGGATAAAATCAATTGACTTATTAGGGTTTGGGGGGGGGGGGGTTTGTTTACAACTAGTATGAATCTGCAAGAAGATTTTTAGTATGATTCTACAAGAGGATTTAGGGTATTCATTTACACTTCAAATCTGCAACTGGTTGAGTGTTCATTTTCTTATCAAAGAGATTCCAATAAAAGTGGTAAATGGCTTCCCTCAGTTCCTGTTAATTTTCAAAATGAAAGGTTGTATATTTTTAAAATTAATTTTGTTTTTGCTCCTGGAGTGGAAAAAAATGTTCTTGCACATTGGATGTTTACTCCCTCTTGCATTCCCCTTCTCAGTAAGGTCTTCTTTTTCTGTATGTATCATGGCTTACTCAACAATTTTTCCTGTTTGCCAAGGAGATTGGGGTTACAGGTCTGTTTTATTTTTGCCAGGTTGCTACTTTCACAGTCAAGTAGATTGGATGCGGTTCGGGGACACACTCCTCTGGTATCATAGAATGTTCTCTGGGTGGTTGCATTTTGGGATGTGTACTGGTGGGATCATAGGATGGACCTGGGTGGGATGGCAGTACATGTAGGATGTGCTATGACATACTCCAGTGGGTTTTTGGAACATTCTGTTTTGTTTTGTTTTTTGACTGTAGGACATGCCTTATGGGTCGTAAGGTGGGATTTGAAGGATATGATAGAGGGGGGTTGTTGAGATCATAGGATGTGCTTCGGTAAAATTGTAAGACTCGGCTGTCTGACAGTTTTTGTCCCACCGGTGCAGCCTGTCATGTTAAAGTCAAAGAACTTGATTCTTAGTTCTATGCTGTACTGCGGTAGTCTTGAGCCCTCTGTGTTGTTGAGATAGGTCACTCACAGCGTTTTCAAAGTGGAACCCAGGTAATAATTGTGCTGTAAATTTTTTTCTTTTCTCTTGTCGAGCAGACATAATATTGTTCCAGATTAAGCTGTTGTCCCACTTGAGCTGCTCATTTTATGAGAAATTTTCTTTTCATGCTGTGCGCACAAGTCTTTGAGTATTCAGTGATGCTTCTTTAACCACGTCCAGGATAACGCTGCGTGTCTTTGAGCCTTGAGTCTGATTCTGATGCTGTTGAGACGCACAACGAAAAGAATTTTGATTCCTGTAGTAGCACACAGATACTTGTACACAAGTGTAGTAGCATAGGGTTTTAAGGCGCTCGCAACTGCATAAGGTCATATGAGTACATAAGTGTGCTATAACAGTTGAAATTGTCCAAGATAGCCACCCGTTGTCGGGGAGAAAAGTTGTGGTCTTAGACAGGTGGATGTCTTGTATAGTGTAATTATGATATTTGCTTTTAACTCACTGACTACCGTTCCCGTCACAGGAGGGGGGGCGGGCGGGTGGCTCACTGGTATGGATCCCCTACCCCCCGACGGGGTAGACTTTACGGTTTTGTTCCATATCTTGTGCTCCCATCACATGTACGGAAACGGAAATGCTAGTTTTACCTCTTCTTTCATTTCGTGCCGAGTGTGGCAGAAGTTGTGTAGTAACTTTTTAAGTAATTGAAGGTGAAGGACAGTCCCCCCCAACTGAGGTTGAACTGACCGGAACTCGCACTATGTTTTTTCTATACAGCTGATACTAATTTGACAGTCGCGTCAAAGTAACGATCGAAGAAGTTGCATGAACAAAAATCACATATTTTCGCTGTTTTCGATACTTCTGTTCGTTTTACTTGTTCTAGTGACTCAGAATATGATGTGTCTGATAGTTAGGAGCCTGGGTGTACCCGAACTGGGCCCGAGTCGTAGTTTTAGGGCTAGTGTACTGGTGCTGTTGCAAACTCAATAAATTCACAACTTTGTGCGTTACTGTTACATCTGTCTCATATAATTCAGTGTATGGATCTGAATCAACGCATATACCCAGCTTTTATATCTTCGCCCAACATTCACACATGCATATAAATCAAAACAGAACACTTTGAAATTTTATATTTGGTCGCTTTTAAGCACAAGGGGGGCTATCCCAAAAAATGCCGTTTTGAGAAGATCGAAGGTAAAGATTTTGCCCCTTGTTTAGTTTCTTTAAAAGACAAAGAGAGTTTTCTCTATTACCCAACTATTATACAAACCAATGAAACAAAACTTCCTACAGGTAGAGCAATGCCCACTTTTGGTGCTGGTCAAAATTTCTGAAAACCCCCGAAACTTGGGTTATCCCGCTTGTCCTTAAAAGCGACCATTTGTTGTTTTGAATTTCTGTCTGTCTCTTACGTCTCTGGAAATTTTTCGGAAAATCAAATTCATGCCAATTTTTTTTAAATCATAAAAATTGAAGTATTAGAATTTGACAGTTTTAGAGTTTTAGTTTTTTTTGTATTAGATTAAACTTGAATGTAACTTTACTGTGTCAAAAATAATTGACAATAGGGTAATTCTGAGAGTTGTGGTGGTGTTTTGAAATCCTCCCAAAAACGCCAGTATTCAGTGCTAGTGACTGGTGAAAGGGCCCAGTAGTCAGTGAGTTAATGGGAAGTGGGAAGTGGTCGTCTGTACAGTCGATTCTCGTGGACAGGTGGTACTTGGAGCAGATTTGACCGTACGGTGCATTCATTTTACTTCCTTACAAAGCACGCATGATCTTGTTAGTGATTAAGTTCTCCCCCCACATGAGCTACTTATTGTGAGAGGAACTTTAGCTCTATGCTATGTGCATGGGCTCTTGTATTATTATACCTATGATTACTAAGTTTACAGGGTTTTCTTTCTCTTCCTGAAAAATTAGCTTGCATGGACATAGCTGGTTTGCTCACGACTATTGAAGTTTGTATATATATAAACTGACTTTTTTTGATTGTTGCTTTGATTGCTGTAAATGAAGCTTACTGCATACCTACAGTCCTTCAGAGTTGTTAAGACTTGCCGTTTTTTATATGGAAATTGTGATTCAGCACCCACTTGTACATATCATTGATAAAAATGTGCCCTTTTTGTCTTTCAAACACATACCCATTTCCACAGGCATTTTAACTGGCAACTGAATTTCTCTTTGTTCACTAATCAGATCAAGAAATGCAACTCTATTTTATTTTTAAATAGATAAAATGGCTTTGTTTAGAGATCACTCATTTCAATAACACCAAAAACTTGGCTACGAAAATTTTCATATTAAGACAATGACCACACCCTTGCTCCAGTGTGTTTTGAAAATCATGGATGGTGCACTTGCTTTACTTATGGTGTGTTAGTTTTAGGGTTGTGCTAAGATTTATTTATTACTATAGTATAACGTTTTGCTTTTTTGTGATAAGCTGGGGTGGGACTGAGCTGTGTTGAGGGATCTGTTGGTAATGACAAAGCAAATTTGTTCTGCTAACTGGAATTGGTTTTTCTTACTTTTGAAGATCACCAAATGACCTTGACTGAAATTCTTTTTTCTTTTACCTGTGTAGTGCAGAAGCTATTCCTTACTAACTTGTATGGACAAACTAAGAGCCATACTTTGAGAGTGAAATCATCTGAGACTGGTTTAGCTCTGATGAATTCAAAAGTTTACCGTTTACTCACACACGCACACACACGCACACACACAAACACACACACACACAGGCACACACACACACACACACGGTCGGGCACTGATAGCTGAACCACTATGTTTTCTTCTAATCGCTCAGCATGCATGATGAAAAAGACAACATACCAATTCTTCCGTAAGTAAGGATGACATAATGCCTTTTCTTTTCTTCATGGCCGTTTCGAGAAAAAGAAATTTTTTGTCAACGTATCCCTGTAAAAATAAAATAATTCTGAAATTTGATTTCTAATTTATTCAAAAACTAGTCACAGTTTCACTTTGATTTTTTCGCACAAGTAGAGTATCTAATCAGGCTTTCGATTCAGCAAATAAAAAATGTTGGTGCCAAAATGAAAATGGACGTTTTGTCAACTTACAGCAGAATTGTCATTGAGAGTATCAGGTTACATGAGCCCACCAGGTTCACCCCAGCGTTGTTGTGTGATATATATACTCTGCTGGGATCAAGATGCATTATTGCACATGACCTGTAGTGTACATAAATTACCTGTCGTGTGCATAAATTACCTGTAGTGTGCATAAATGACCTGCCGTGTGCATAAGCTCAAATTTAGTCTTGTGTGGGTGGATGTCAGGTGGTAAGGTGTGTTTGAAGTTGAAGACAGACTGTGTGACGCTGCATTGGGCTGGGCTGTGTGCTGTGGGAGTTATATTTGTGTTTGCGTACATGTGTGTGTGTGTGTGTGAGTGGTTGTTTGAAAGTGAAGGTACGGATCAGGAAGGGATTACACAGATTACACAAGAGGGGTGGGTGACATGCTCTGACCAGTCTTGGTTACATCATCGTACATAAACATGAACTGAAGTAAGAGCTATTTTCTTTTAGCCGTAAGGCTCATTAGCAGCACTCTTTCTTTCTCACTCACTCTTCCTTTTACCTGCTTTGACACTGAGCAGGTTAAAAAAGAGACACAGAGCATTACGTTAACTCGTTATAACAGCTGTGTGCGGCAAGCCTGGTGCAGTAAGTCCATTTCAGTGATGATTTATTTCCCGACCATTTTACTGTCCCAGTTATTTCCCTTGACTTTCTTAATTTTTTTTTTTCCTAATTTTTCTTTTTATCAGCACCTAAACTTACTTCTCACACTGGGTGGGTAGAACCTACAAGTTTGCTCCAGGTGGAATCACATTGAACTGCGAACTCTTTTCTGATCACTGTAGCAGTTGTCTCTTCTCCTGAAGTTGCGAGACAGACTGAATTATAATTGGTGTGGTCAAGACACAATGGTGCGTAAGGACAAGGGCAGGGGAACTTGGTCTGAGATTGAAAGCTATACTATGAATTTTGGACAGGTAAAGGGGAGGAGCAACTAGATAAGCATAGATGTTGAGACGCACGGTAGGATAATAAGTGAAAATGGCATGCTTCAAGCCACTGTGATTGGTCGTCAAGATTGACCACTCTTTGCTCGCTATAAGTCCTAAACCCACCCAAGGGTCAGGTCAATTCAGTTTAGAGTAAAGGGAGACCATTGCAGTGTTTACCGGTTGTGGTCCTGAACATGAGTCACCGCGGATTCTTCCCTTGGTGTGTTGGCTGAGCTCCCATTTGCCTAAGATCCCACATTTCTCTTGCTCCCAAGCACTGGAATCTCAGGCAGAGACTACTGTTTTTGAGTG